CCCTTGCCCTGGGCGGGGGGGGTGGAACGAGACAGTCTTTAAGGTCCCTTCCAAGCCAAACTGTTCTATGATTCCCCCCACCCTGTGGCTTTGCCAGCCACCGAGGGCTAAGAGCACTGTCTTTTCCAGGGGAAAAACTTTCCGTATTGTCAGTTCTGGAATTGAAATAGCTTAAATTGCATGTGAGCTCATGACAAATGCAAGGCACTCTTCCCATTCTGCCCTGGAAAGCATGAAACACTAGTTTCATCCTACATGACAAACCTGACTGCTCACCCTTAGCCTCTGGACATGGCTGTCAGCCTAGGTACCCAGAATCTACTGAGTTTCCCCTTGTCCAGTGCCTTTCTCTGCTGCGACCCCCACACCAAGAGCCTGCTCCCAGCCCCTGCCTGCTGCCACAGCTGGGGCCTCCTGCGAAGGGGTCAGTGGGAGACCCTGCCACATTTGCAGCTGCCCTGCAGCCATGTGGTCGGTAGCACTGTCTGATGGTGCCGCAGCCATGCCCTGCCATGCCGTGCCAGCCCAGCTCAGCCTCACAGGCCTCCAGTATGCCGCTCCTGATGGGCACTGGCGGCACAGATGCCCTCTGGACAGTGCTTTCATTTGCTGCAACAGCTGAACGAGCTGATGCAGCATCCCTGGAAACGCTCTCCACAGGGGACAGCAGAATTGGAGCAGATCTCTCCAGGGCTTCCCAGCTGCAGAGCTGCCTGCAAGCAGCTAATCGCATTCTTAATTAATGTGAACCATGCGTATGGTGGAAGCCAGAGGAGGGCAAGGCGTCCACTGCCCCTGCTTCAGAGCTCCTTTGTATTTCAGCAGTTTCTTGCCGAGCAGAAACACAATGTGCCCATAAAGGCACAGCAAGCACTGATCAAAAGCCGCTGCCCCACTGAGGGGGGTGCAGCAGAAGCAGCTGCCTCCCCACCTTGCCACGAGCAGTACTCACTCTGATCCCAGCACAGCCAGCGAAGGACAGGGCAGGCTACCCTCCGGCCCCACGCCACTGCCATGTGGCTGCCAACCTCCTCCATCACGGCGGGGACTTGCCAGGACCCCCTTATCTCTCACAGGGGCAGGCTGCTGTCATGCTAGGGGCATCAGCTGATTTTTTGGGAGGTTTAGTAGCCAAACAAGGGGGAAGATGAACCTTTGAGTGATTGTCCATCAATAACCGCCGGGTATTTAAGCACTCCGAGCTCCAGCGTGGTGCATGTCTCTGGGGATGTGATCTTGCATTTGGCCAGGCATTGAGTGTTCCTGGTCTGAAGTCAATCCTGGGCTGCCACTCCAGATTTCACAATCAGGCCATGCTCATTGAAAACACGCTCTGGTGACCTGGAGCTGCAGCCATTGTGTGATCTGTGGCTTTCCCGGCCCTTCAGTGGGGCTAAACCCACCATCGGCAAGGGAGGAGGCTCCTCGTGACTTGCAGCTTAGCCAGCGCATTAGTGAGCTGTTCGGAGGCCCCTCTCTCAAGTTCATAATCCCCCCTTCCTGGCTACCATGTGATTTCAAGCCACATCGTTTGCAGACTGGTCCTCCCCTCCAGCTTTTTGCATTGAGTACAACCTCATTTACCTTTCCCACATCTTGCCTTTCCCAGAGTCCTGCTGTGGTGGGTGATGGTCAGTCCTGGGTGTTTTGTAGCTTAGCATCATTTTGGAGCAGCCTGGCATTTGAGCAGAAACTCATATCAAATCCACAGTGGACTTGAGACCTCTGGACCCACATTTGGTACTGATGGGTCATTTTGGTGATCTTAAAAATAGAGAAATGACGCAACAGGACTAAAACCACCCAGATCTTTTTGTCTGCCTCTGACAGCTTGCAGAGATCTACCCTGATCCACTGTCAGCACTTGACTCAGGTACACTGAGACCACCTCCAAGGGAAACTCCTGCTTCAGAGGTCTTCCCTCCTGGCCTCAGGTCACTGTCAGATCCTGTGCACTCCAGCAGGGCCGAACTCCCCCCACTCGCTGCCCTGCAGCATCACTGGAGTTGCTCTTCAGTCTTGTTTTGGTTGGATGCAAACACCATGGCACATCCAAAAGCCACCAGGGCACGTTAAGGAATTCAGTTGACATTGTTCCTCTCCAGCTCGGGGATGAACCATGAGGAAACAAGCATGGTGTAACTACAGCTCCAGGCATGATTCTTCCTTTCTGGACAACTCTGGTGACACCAAAAAAACATGGACCACTTACTTGGGACAGCAAATCCTGCTCTGCCATCAGACACTGTTAGTTAATCAGGACCTTGTAAGGCAAATTGCAGGGTTAGTCCTGCAACCAGGAGGTGTCTGTCAGAAAACTGACTCCTAACCTCCCTTTTTCTCTTGCAGGACCAGTACGTGTTCCTGTACACCTGCATCCGGGACATCATTGCTCAGAAACAGCCCTAACACCGCTCAGCATTCCTGGCACTGTCCTGCCCTCCACCTCTGTGGGGTCCTGTCCGGAGCCAGGAGCTGGGGTGAGAGCACCATGGGGCTCCTGGCACAGAGTGAGCCCTGCAGTGAGAGAGGACCTACCCTGGCACTGTCACCAACACATCCCACACGGTATTAGCAGCGACATGGGGTCTCCTGAACAGATGGGCAGTGCTGTCCCACCACACACTGCTGCAGCCCCTCAGTGCAGACACGGCAAGGGGCTAGGTGGGATGCTCCCCTGCTTTCGCCATCTCCCGGGATTCTTGGTGCCTGGAAGGTTTGTTAACCCCACTGTGGTACGCAGTGCCAGCTGTGGAGACTCTGCAGTGCCCTTGCCCCTCAGCACAGAAGGGGAAGCCCTGGGCTCAATCCCAGACAGCCCTGGTGCCCACAGGCTGCTGAGGTCTGACACGAGCACTGGGCACCGCAGTCTTCATGCACCCATGGGCACCGGGAGTGTTGAGGTCTCGGACACTGCTGTGGGCAGACCATGGTGGGAGTTGGCTTGTCTTGGCCGGTGGATCAGTCTTAGGTACAAACAATAAACAGCCCTAGGAAAAAGTGTGCTTGTAAGGGTGGGTTGGCTTTTTTGGGGTCTCAGCAATGCCAAAGCCTTCCCTTGCTGCAGCACAGCAGCCGTTCCCGAAAGGGCAGCTGTGTCCTTAGCCATGGGCAGCGGATGGGGTGACCTTAGGTGCTCCAGACACCGCAGCCCATGGCACACAGCAGCTTCTGCTCACTCTCATCTGCTCCTGTTACTGAGGCAACACTTCTGCAGTGAACCTCCAATTCAGCTGCAGCTTTACAAGGAAGAGGTACATTTTCTGATGAAGCCTGGGCTTGAAGTTATGAACCTGCTGTCTCCAAGAGCCAAGGACCAGGGCAAAGCCACCTGGTCCAGGTGACATGCTGGCAAGCAGCTGGCATCACTGTGGCTCGTTGCAGAGCACTGACTGCTGCTCTAGGAATTGTATTGTCCATGCAGCCACATGTAGAGACACCACTGCTCTGCAAGCAGCGATGGCCACGCACAAACTCAAATTGCAAGTAGCAACTTGGTTCATTGAGCTTCAAGTGGAGGTCAGAAGGAAGAGTTAAAAAAAGCAGATGATTTCATGACCATATTCCTGAGGTAGAAAAAGACTGTATCTGGGAACCCATTCACCCTCCTTCATCCCTTCAGGCAGCATGGGGTCGTGGTACAGTCTCAAAGCAGCAGCCCTGTCCCAGTCTGGGCCCACACTCCTACCCACAATACCGTGCCCTGCAGGGGCTGCCTTGGAGTGGGATGAGGAGACACAACAGCTACGATGAGGAGATCCCAAGACCTACTGCAAGGAGTAAACAGCCCCAGGTGGGGGACTAAGTTGGCCACTCATCCTACTGCCCCATGCTTCCACAAACAACTTCTCCCTCTTCCAAAACAGGATCCTGCTCTCTGCAGGACACTCAGGGCACCTAAGCATGGACAGCCATCCCAGCACCGGGATGATGCTTCAGAGTTTGACGCCCAGCACCTTTTCCTTCTCTCACCAGATAACGTTTCTCTCTTTGGCAGTTGCTGTGCCCACCAACTCCCATCCTCTCCACCCATCAGTGCAGTGCAGCTGCCAGCCATGTGTTCAGGCAGGGGTGGGAACCTGTCTGTTGTCCTTTTCACCCACTGCCCACTTGTAGACGCAGACAGCGCACAGCTGGGTAGGAGCGGTCCCTCCATGTACACAATATATCTTCCATACTGCAGGCGGGGCTTCTCTGCTGCTCAGTCCCATCTGCCATCCTCTCCTTCCCTGCTCCCAGCTCCAAGCTGCAGCACTCACGGGCTAAAGGAAACCAAGATGGTGCAGAGCCTTAGTCCCATACAAGGCTGTTTTTCCCCCTGACCCCCACCCTGGGCACTCTGTGTGTGCAATGCTGTCTTCACCACAGGTCAGAGCATCCTGAGTTGCCCATGATGGCTCTCATCCATCCTGACCTGGATTATCATGGATCCAGTTGCTGTTTGAAAATGTTTCCATGCAACTACATCTTTGTCCCAGGGTGACCCAGCAGCATGATGTGACTGGTCACTCCCTGCTCAACCTACACAAGTGACCATCGCAGTGACTTGTAGTATTTCTGGTTGGAAGTCAACTTGCTGAGAGCTCTCCAGGAGGATGCGTGATTACTTCCAAGATGAAAAAGGCCTGCAAAACTCAGTGGATATTCTTATGTGCACAAAAAGTTTAATGATGTCATCTTGGGAGAAGTCTGGCACTTGCCCATATGCTCACAGGAAGCCTGGTGGCTTCATGATTTTCATGTAACCAGTAATTCCTAAACTACGTAACTCCTGAACCATGCTTGTGCTGCAGGATAAGTGTCACAGCAAGGATATCATTGCTCCCAGTGACCCCCCGGCCCAGTAGGCAGGATTGGGGGGGGTCAAGCTGTTTGCTGCTCATGAGGTGCATGCAGTTTGTAGCAGCAATCACCTGCCATGCTCTTCTGGGGCACCACAGGAGAACACACCAGTGCATGCTGGAGGTTTGACATAAAGCAAGCAAGCTGTAAAATCAAATCTGGTCCAAAGACTGACGTGCCCACTGTCTGTCCAGAGTTTTGAGTTGATGGGTTGGTGAAGTTTAGACCTACCCAGCAGCACAGAATCTCACTAGGGTTGGGGGTTTTATCCCAAGACCCCCCAGGAAGGAGCAGTCTCAAAGACCATATGCCCTGCTGCCACATGCACACAGGCCCATCCTTCTTAGATCTCCATCAGAAACAACCCTGATGTCCAGCTTTCACCCTTCAGCTCCAGTCAGCCTTAAAAATAGTCTCTGGGCTACAAGACAGTAGCCCTTCTGCCAGGGCCTGCAAGTCCACTCTAACAAGCACCTACAAGGACAGTAAAACTGCTGGTGTTCCACACCAGAGGCTCAATCCCATCCATTTGTCACAATCCCCTCCTCACTGCCGTAGCCTCAGCACAGTTGACTTGCAACGCACACAAAGGCAGCGATCCCTGCACAGGAAAGAGAGAGGGAGCTGCTGATGTAGCATTCCCTCAAACAGGGGAGAGATGAACCAGACTTGGATCCAACTCCAGCATCTCCTTACTGGTGTTGTTGGACACAGCCTGTGGCTCTCATGTGCTGTGCATGGCCCAGAACCCTCAGATGCTGAGCACAGTTACATCTCAAAGCTATGCGTGGATGCGAGCTTTAGCCTGGTGCCCAACAGGCTCTTGTTCAAAGTATGCAGTCTCCACTGAACACCGTCAAGTATTTGTACCTGTATGTCCCAGCATGGTTTATGATGTGTAAAACACCTAATGCTCTTAGTTTCAGACGATTTCAAGAACATCTGTGGAGCACCCTGACCTGCCAAGTGGACCCAATCACAGTGAGAGTGAAGATGTGAAGGGAAGCATTGCCATGAGGTAGCAGGAGCCTTGGGAAGGGCATAGAAGCACCATTACCAGGGTTTTTTCTCTCTAGAGCCTGGCAGCTGGCGTGTAGGGCCTGTACTGTGGGTGGTCATTGCCCCTTTGGCTGTGCATCACCCCACAGTAGCCTGGGGTTCTGCAGAGATAAGCCGTCCCTTGCTCTGCCAAGTGCAGCTACGAGGGTCTCCCAACGGCCTGGCCAGGACTGCATGCTCAGAAAGGGGCAACTGCCAAGGACAAGGAGGGGCAGGAACTCCCCATCCTCTCTTTTCTATTTTTCTGCAATCAGAGCTACCCTGTGGCTTTCAGAGTCATTATGCATGGGGCTTTGCTCAAAGCCATAGTCCCCATGGAGAGGGTCTGGGTCTGACTCTATAGCTTGTGGCACAGGAGAGAGGTCTCAGAATGGGACAGCATTCCCATGGACTGCTTGTGAGCTCTTGCCTTTCATGGAGAAGAGCGGGACAACATCCACATGACACAACTTGGCCACCCCACAGTTCACCCTTAGCTGATGGAAGTGAACAGGCAAGATGGGAGGTGGGTTCTGCTGGCACCTGCCCCACACCACCTCTCTTCCCCATGGGACTCCGTTCAGCACATCATTGTCCATCTGCCTTGCTAGATGGGCTGCTGCACCAGAATCTTTCTACAGTTGCTTGGGAAAGTGCTCATGGGTCTCCTGTGTGTCCCTGCACAGAGGTGGCAGTCCCAGCACGGGGCACAGCTATACGCAGCCAGGCAGGTCTGATGCACAGACCCAGGGCTCGTGGCACAGAGTTGCAAGGGGCGCAGGCTGCGAGTCGTAGGGAAGCAAGTGAAAGCCATGGTGGGGGAGGCATGTTGCTATCTGCAGAGCTTCCAGAAGTCCGGGAGCAAAAGATCCCACAGTCCTCACATCTGGCTAGCACGAAACAACAGTTTCCAGCAGAGCAAGGTGAACCTGCAGACGACTGCAGCTAAAGCACAGTGGCTCTGGTAGGTATGAAGGGATTTTCTCATCAATGGGACAGGCACGGGACAGGGATTTGTCACACAAACTGGCCAACAGGTTTCACCCAGTGAGTTCGGTATGGCTGCGCCTGTGGCACAGTCTGCAGCTCTGCATTTCATGTCCTGTCTTACAGGAGGCTGACTTGGTGACGATGATGAATTTACGACCTCCCACCCACTGCTGCAATGGAGTCTGGAGCCACAGATGCTTACAGAGGGTGTCGTGGGAGCTGCGGTTTGGATGAATAATTTTCCAAGCCTGCAGCTCAGAGCCACAAAACCCAGAGGGGGAGAGAGAGACAACAAAACAGTAAAACAAAACAAGCCTCCAGCTCGGGCCGCCCAGCGAGTTCTGGACCGTGCTGTGTTGTTCTTCATATTTAGCCTGCTCCAGTCTGGCAGCATCCAGCCACCACCCTCCTCCACCAGCCTTCGTGCAGAGGTCAAGACCCTGGAGATGAGCAGGACCATGTCCATTTGGACCCTCTTTCCACCCTATCCCCCTCTTCCCATGGCTGCCAGAACAGGGTCAGACTGGGTTAGCATTAAC